GGCAAGATTTGTTCATTGGAGGACGAGGGGGGGAGTGTTGACTTAACCTTCTCTCTGAGGCTGAGAGAGTGTGACTTACCCAGTCTGGAAAATCAGCATGCCAACGGATCTTGTAGCACCTCTGAAACTGATTGAGAGAGAGAAGCTGGTAGCACCAGCTTTTCTAGACTTGAACCTACGGATATAGAGTTGTTGTTGTGTGCCCTCAGGTCGTTTCCTACTCCCCGGGGACCCTAAAGCGAATTTATCACGGGGTTTTCTTGGCAAGGTTTGTCCAGAGGAGGTTTGCCATGGCCTTCCCCTGAGGCTGAGAGAGTGTGACTTGCCCAAGGGAACCCAGTGGGTTTCCATGGCTGAGCAGGGATTCGAACCCTGACCTCCAAGAGTCGTAGTCCAATGCTCAAGCCACTACACCAGGCTGGCTCTCTTTGCTGAGAGTTTGTGCCTGAGGGATTTTGGAGGAAGTTGTGAGAAGGTGGAGGGAAGAGTCAAACGGGGATCATGGGGGCCATGGGCTGGAGGCACAGGATGGCAGGGGGGCAGGCAAAGGAGGAGTGATCAGGTGTCCTCCTTTTCCAGGACCTGGCCTACATTCCTGCCTACATTCCTGTCCAGGAGGGATTCCAAAATGTCCTCCGTTCTGAGCATGACTAAGAAGCATGGATTTATATTTATAGGAGTGTTTTCCACTTTTCTTTGGTCTTCTTCTTGAAGGTTCTCCATTTGGAGGTGCCTTGTCCTCTTTTGCGGTGAGGACATCTAGTCACCCTGAACTAGGGGCAGGGGGTAAGGTCGTGGCGGTTCTGCTTCTGGCCTTACCGAAAGAGCAAAAAGGAGGAAATCCTGCCGTCCTCCACTTTCATGTCTTGCACAGTGTAGGATGCTGACCTTGTAAGGAAAGTGGTTGTCAATGTAACTCAAGTGCAGCTTATGCAAGGAGGTGATTTACAATTGGGATGTAAAAGTACAGTTGTCCCTCCACATTTGCGGATTTGACTTTTGCAGATTTGATTATTCACAGATTGTATTAGTATATTCTCTCTAGGAATATCTAGGTCCTCCAGTGCAACTGTATGGTCAACTTGAACCAAAAATTCCACTGAAGAACCTAGAGATTCCTAGAGAGAACACTCCACTAGGCATTTGTAGCTCCTCCAGTGCAATTTTATGGCCAATGTCTGGAAGATGTTGACCACAGAGCTGCACTGGAGGACCTAGAGCAGGGGTAGGCAACCTAACGGCCCCAGGCCGGTCCTGCCACCGCCGCAGCCCCCTACCACTGCCGCCCACCATGATGATATTGATTATTGTTGTTATTACTTGTTCTTGAGGTTTTCTTGGCAAAATCTCCACAGGGGGTTTGCCATGGCTTTTCTGGTGTTGAGAGAGTGTGCATGCATATTTTTTAAAAAATTTTAAAATGTATAAAACATTTATTTATTTATTTATTTATTTATGGTGCTTCGGCCCCCCAATTGTCTGAGGGACAGCAACCCAGCCCCTGGCTAAAAAAGGTTGCCTACCCCTGACCTAGAGAGATGTTCTCTCAGCTAAAAACATAGTGTTTTTGTTATTTGAGGTTTTTCCACTTTCATGGGGGTCCTCTGCCCCTAACCCTAGCGAATATGGAGGGACCACTGTAAAAAACAACAACAACACAGGCTGGTAAAGTGTTAAAAATTTGAGGGTCATTGCTTTTGCTGATCCTGCATTGAACAGGGGGTTAGACTTGATGGTGCCTGAGGCCCCTTCCAACTTCCAATTATGTGATTCTGTGAAAACTGAGAGCCTTAGGATAACTTAAAAACTTACCTGTCGTAGAATTCAAAGTTATAGCCGTGTTAGTCTGTCAAATCATATGTAAAGAGATCTTGTAGCACCTTTGAGACTAACTGAAAGAAAGAAGTTGGCAACATGAGCTTTCATAGACTTCTGTCTCTTTCTCAGATTTACTCCATCAAATGTTAGTCTTAAAAGTGCTACAAGATCTCTTTACATACTTTAAAGTTATCTGTCAGTTACCTTGCTGACATAGAAACAGGGGGCCACAGTAGAGTGAGTGATATTAAAAGGGTTGGAGGGGGAAAGAGCCAAGTATTTAACATCTAATTTGGAGAATTGTTAAATCTTCCAGAATGGTTTTCCCCTTTTTTTTCTTGCATATCAAGTATTGGGGGGTTAGATTTTATATGTCCTCCTATTTTGTGTTTGTGGTGTCTGGGTTTTGGACATGTGTCTGGTTTATGTTGCTGTACAATGGTATGTGGCATGGGGATCCTCTTTTGATCACTGTGTTGGTTTCTGTATTGCTTCCTGTTGTAATTGTTGAAGAGCTCATGTAAATTGTTAAGGAGCAGCTCAAAAGGCCTGGGATACTGAAGACATGAGAGTGAAGTTTAGGGCTTCTAATACATTTGTTATTGAGCATTATAAGGAATAGAATACGGGTGTTAATAAAGTTGGCTATTATTCAACTCATCTGAAAGCTAATTCAAAGTCATCACTGGGGAAAAGGGTGGGAGATAGTGACCTCTTTATTTGTTTCCAGGCAACATTTTGTAGCCTTTATTTGTGGTGGTAATTTGTACAACCTAAACTCAGAAAAAAACAGAAATAGAAGATTACTTCAGGGGTGCTCAAACTTTTTACCCTCAGGATCACCCTTTACATATACATGTGGACATCTTCTCCCCACTCAACGTAGTATATGAATAAAAATATTTTGTTTATTTAGTGTGCATACTTTCATTCGCACATTCATTTATATTCATATTCTAACATTTTAAAAGAAAATTAGAACAGTTTTATTTAAGAAAATTCAATATTTAACTCAAGCCATGTGTAAATTTTACACATAAAGTTTGGGAACGGGAGGAGGAAGAGGAGGGAGCAGGTCTTCCCTAGTTTCTCCCCACCCCCTTAGCAGCTCTCATGCTTCCCTGTGGGTCCTGTCCCACCTTTTGAGAACCACTAGATTACTTCAAAAGCTTCAAGGAAGTGTTTGGAAGTCAAGTATTTCACTCTGCAGCAGATGTGCGTATTGTTCGGAAGATTTAATAATTGTAAAATTTGACTGCTTGAAGCCTAGTGGCCTGTAATTGAAGAAATTTTGCAGGTGTTGCTGATGGGATCTATATCCAAGAAACCTGGTTAGTTGAGCCTTTCAGTGTTTAAGGTATTGTGTTGTGTTCTTAAGCAGGTAAATATTGGCCCTTCAGGTCTCTTCCAGCTCTGTGATTCTATTGTAATTTTTATTTGGGTTTTGTAGAACTGAACATTAGGAAACTGCTTTTGAATACCTTGCCATGGATACACTTTTATTTAACTGTTTCATTCTGCTGTTTTGAGAATTGTCAATATATATTATTCCTAGCTCTTTGTTGGAAAGCAGAAGCCTTATATTAAGTGTGGAGATACTAATACCCCCAATTCTCTTTAGAGTAGCCACAGTGCAATGAAAAACTTTTAGAGGAATTTTGTGACTTGGTTTTTTTAAATGATGGAGTATCTACTCATTTTGATTTCACACTAGTTTCATCTGGCTTGTTTGGCTCTTAGAATTGTGTCAGACTATGCAGCTCTCATGTGTGGATGGGAGTTTTTATAGGAAGGCACTCTGGAAAGTAATCACTTTCCTGTGATTATTGCTTAAAAGGCAAAGGGCTGAACAAATAAATTTGACACTTTTTGGAATTCAAAAAGGCTGGTTGGGTATTATATCAATGAAAGTATTTTGATTTTTATCACACTTTGAATTGGGTAGATAATTTTGTGATTGGCAAGTTGGATGGTGCTTCTTAGACTATCCCCAAATGTAGACTAATAGAAAGGATTTGTGGAAGGACGAGCATAATAGGAAAATTTAATGGAGTATAATTGCTATGGAGCCTTGGTGAAGGGGATACTTAGGGAACAAAGAGATGCTGTTGGCAGAGTTTCTGAGGCAGTCTTAAATCAACAATTGAGGTGGCATCTGCACTGCAGAAATAATCTAGTTTCACACTACTTTAACTGCCATGCCTCAATTCTGCAGAATTCTGGGAATTATAGTTTAGTGGGACATTTAGCCTTCTCCATCAAGAGAGCTCTGGTGGCACAACAAATTACAATTTCCAGAATACCATAGCATTGAGCCATGGTAGTTAAAGTGGTGTGAAACTAGATTATTTCTTCAGTGCAGATATAGCCTGAGGTTAATGAATAGCTGTCAAAGGAAAGGCATTCCTGCTATACATTCCTGCTATACAGACTGCCAGAAATAATCCAGTTTGTAACTGTCCTGGCTCAGTGCTAGGGAATCATGGGAATTGTACTTTTTTCTGAGACATTGAGCTTTCTTTGTCAGAAAGCTCTAGTGCCATAATAAACTACAGTTCCCATGATTCCTTAGCACTGAGCCAGGACAGTTAAAGTGGTCTCAAGCTGGATTATTTCTGGCAGTCTGTATAGGCCCATAATGGAATCTTAACTGATTGTTCACTGAGTGATGAAGATATTTTAAATATGGATTTTGCTCTAACAGAGTTGGAGCATGCATTAGATAGAAGCAAACAACATTTAAGAGAGAACAATATAGGATATTAAATAGATGTCACTTGGAGTTTATTTTTTTGTTCTTCCTTTATAATCTGGTTTGGAACTGAGGTTTGAAAGTATGTGATTGTAATTCCTATTGCTAAACAATGAAAGATTTTTTCCTATTTCTACTGTGGTTTCTTCTAAGTGCAAGGTGATGATACAAAGCTCATATAGTTAACTGATGCAATTGAACCAGGAGAAGGGAAATAGTCAATTTCACAGTAGTAGGCATATGTACATCATATTATCCAATTAGAAACAAGTCTGGGGGAAATTGCCCCAGGGAATTTTTCATTAACTGTAGAAAAGGATATGATAAGGACTGGAAAAAACAGTCTGATGTTCTATAAATGGTATCAGTTGGGTTTGGTGGCTGTGTGATTTTTTTTTTTTTCATGACCAGAAATTATAGTTCTGGGTGGTTCAGTTCTTGCAAAGACTTCTTGAAAACCTACTGGGAGACCTTAGGCAGGCCACACTCTCTCAGCCTCAGAGGATGACAATGGCAAACCCCCCTCTGAAGAGACTTGGCAAGACAATCCCATGATAGGTTCACTTTAGCATCACCATAAGTTGGAAATGACTTGAAGGCATACAACAACAAACTCTAATTATCTCTTTGCTTTTATCTTAGGCAGAAGCTAAAAGCTGTCTTCAGAGGGATATTATTAAGAAATGGCAGAACCAATGGAAGCTGGTTGGTAATGGATGTAGGGTTTTGTTTTTGTTTTTTCCCCATTTGTATTTGTTTCACCAGAAAGGCTGATAATGACAGCAAAGCTGTCTTTTTTTCAGGTACTAACAGGACACTGTGCAGCTTGTAATAACCTTTTGGGCATTATATA